AAGATTATGCAAAAAAGTTTATTCAAGTTGCTAAGTACTTGATTAAGGAGATCATTGGGATCTCTCCAACAAGCCCAAGCATACTAACAAAATAAGGCATAACACAGAAAAGTCCAGATGAATTCTGGTAAGTTCTCTGTACAGGGTCCAATGACCAGATCTATGGGCTGTGTTCACACCATAAAGACTATATAGAATTTGTGAAGTGGATGATAGACAGTTATAAACTTTAGATGCTTTCAATTTCACTAACTCTACAAGATATCTTGTGTATTCAAATTAAGATTTGAATTGATGGGATATTACTGAATCTTTGACATACAAGAGTCCCTTTTTTGTTATGACCTCTAACTGTTTTGTTGTGAACGTCAGGGGCATTTCTTCTTCGAGAAGGCTCGTAAAGCAGATGAGGAAGCAAATGAAAAGATTTTTGAAACTAGGTTGCTGTCTTTTCTCTCATGTCTTTCTTTTATTTAGAACACCCATCTAACCCCTTCTCTCCCTTAAGCAGCAGTAATGTAGACGCACAAGACTTTATGATGCTTGACTTGCATGAGGTTGGTGCCAAGGACGCCATACGGCTTTTAAAGTGTCATCTGTCTTCACTTGCAGGCATCCCTTGTAAGTCCATTCTTATCTTTATCTCTAAATTGATATCCGAATCATATTTTGTCACATAAAACTAACATTTTCTATCAGGCATCAAGTATCTCAAGGTTGTGTTAGAGGGGAATGATGAAGATATCTCAAAGGGAGCTCGAAGACGATTGGTAAGACTAGTTGGACCTTGGTCAAGAAATCCTCTCATCTGTCTAAGTTTTGAAATTATCCATATATAACTGCAAAATGCTGATCTTGGTGTTGTGGAGTAGAGTTAGTGAGCAAGATAAATAAACAATACAACAATTTACTAGGTTTGCCCAATTGTATATACTTCCAAGGGATGAATTAGGTATTGGATTCACTAGAAAAAAGAATTCTAAAAATTGTAGATGTGATCTCTCTCTCTCTCTGACCTTCAGTGCACTTATATCTCTACAAATTCTGAATTATGCAGTTCCGAAAAACCAACATATATGTATATAGTGGCTTTAGGAAGAAAACTCTAGAACTTTAATATAACCCATGTCGTAAAACGGGGGGCTTTTCTCCCATGCCCTTACTCTTATTCAAGTCTGGTAATGCTGACTTAGTATTTTAGTCTTATAAAATTAAGACGTGAAACTTATACGTTCTTTATAATGCAATAACTCATATACATATAGCATTTGGAATGGTGAAAATATTAATAGGGTGCTTTAATTGTCTGTCATTATTTGTTACAGGTTATGAAACTATTAGAGAGAGAATCCATCACCTGGAGCGAAGATGAAAATATTGGAACAATTTCAATTCGCTTGGATATTGTTGACCCGAAAAGTTTGAGTTTTGCTAAAAAGTAGGAGGGGACTTGGCTTCGAAGAATTTATCTGTGTTCAACTCCAATACCTTAAGTCATTACATCTTTTTATTGAAATCGAACAAATATTCTGAATATTAATCTTTAAAATTTATATGTATGGATATTAAGATATGTATTTTCCATTCTTTGGAAACATGGATGGTGCATGAAATATAGAAATAACAATTGCATGGGATTTTCTTGTTAGCAAGGTTTATAATTTGTTCCAAGCAAGTGGATACATGAAATTATAGCAAACTAGAAGCTTAACTTCATGATTTGAAGATCATGTTGCATCTTTAGACCATTAGAAGGTATTATTTTTCATTTAAGAATGTATGAGCTCTATGGTTCTTACAAATACTAAAAATTATTGATTGATATGTAGGCCTAAATTATTATTTCTAGGGTTGTGTTACTTTTATGGATTGAAGATTGAACAGAAATTAAATCATTAGAAATGTTTTAATTACCTCATTAAAAATCGAAGGTACTTGAGATTTGGGTTTAATTATTATCAAAATTTAATATTTTTTTAAAACCGTAATTTAGTTTCTATACAATAAAAATTTATTGAATTCACTTTAATTTATTAATACATGTAAAATGATGATTATATGTTTGTAAAATAAAAAATAATAAGTAAATATTTAAAAAAAATATATCAGAATAAAAAAACTTAATTTATATGTTAAAGAAGAAATAATAAAGTGTAAAATAATGGAAAAGTAAAAAATAACTAAAAACATATTTTAATTTACAAAATTGTCATTATGTTTGGTTTCTTGGATCATACTTACAATCTCTGATATGAATATGATTGTGATTCAATGTGTAAGGAATTCATAAATCATGATTTATAAATTTTCTTATAATATATTTTTTTATTCTTGTAAATCAATTTACTCTGGATATATTTATTTTGTACTTATATATATATATATAGGGAATAAAGTGATAATTTTTCTTGAATTTGTTCAAAAACTTTATTAATTTTATGTAGTATTACAGTTTTATTGTTTTAATTATTTAATTATTAAATTATATGAATATAAAAATGCATTAAAATTTAATTTTTGCCAATTATAATAAAAATAGTATTATAAACACACATAACCAATTACACTTATATTTTTACCTTATTATAATTAAAAGAAATATAATAATAAAATTTTAAAGTATTCCAAGGATTTAACCAATCGATATAATGTAATTAAAATTTCCTTAGCTTTTCTCTATTCATGCTAAATAACTAGGTTTTTGGAAATGGTAACTGTTGACCAGTGAGCTTTTTACTTTTAACAGGTACTCACTGATTTATTTAGCAGAAATTCACCTCTCGAACCTTCTCCTCTCTCCTTATTCTCTGGAATCTCTCCTGTTCGTGGCTCCTAGGATGGGTGGGTCGGTGAAGGATGTGCAATCAAAGGCAGAGCTCGATAACCTGCGCCAGAGCGGCGCACCTACAATCCTTCACTTTTGGGCCCCTTGGTGTGATGCCTCAAAACAAATGGACCAAGTCTTCTCCCACCTCTCCACAGATTTCCCTCATACCCATTTCCTTAGGGTTCGTTTTCCGTCCCTATTTTAGACCCTATCCATATATCTGTATATCTGTGTGGATATCTATGTGCTAAGTATTCTTTATAATGCTTAATTTGTTTGTTATGGGTACTTTTAGGTTGAGGCAGAGGAGCAACCTGAGATATCAGAGGCGTATGCCGTCTCTGCCGTGCCATATTTTGTCTTCTTGAAGGTGTGTTTAGTGGGTTTTTATTTTATTTTTCTATTTGATTAGGGTTTGTTCTTCAAGTTTAGTGCTTTCTCTCTAATTTTTGAAGGGTTGTGGTGTAAAGAGTACATTCGATTATCTAATGCCTTTTTCTAAATTGAAGTACAAATATTGTTGAAATTCTTATGTAAAAATAATAGCGTGTGAGATAGTATTCGCTATCACTTCAAGGGAATAAATTGTAAACTTCAATTAGGGGTTGAAGTTTAGGATAATTGGCATTGTTATAAGGACTATATTCTTGATGAGATGATATTGTTATCGAAATAAAATTCGTCAATTGAAGTGGTCTACTGATTTAAATTGTTGTGGGATACTATAAAAAAGTGCTATTATGTATTGAAAGTTTATTTGGTTGTTTGTTATAAGCACTCTAGGGAAATCTTTTGTTGTCAGTATGAACCATGCCACTGATCTGGTATCATGGAAGTCTCATGGCATTTATTTAAGTGCATTGGCTGCAGTACTAATTGCACATATTTGTGGTTTACTGATATAATGGTTTCTAGACATGGAGAGGAAGATTGTTGAGCATCCGGACTTCAAATATGTTGTGAAAGTATTTCGTCGTTGAACTTCTGGACTCATAATGTGTTAGGAAATATGACATTTTGTAGGATTTGAAATTTGGAGCATGATTGCATAATATCTCCTTTTTCTTTACTTAATTTTATGATGAAACTAAAAGTCTAGTTTCGTTTGATTGTACTTGTAAACCATTTCAATATCAAGCTAAATAGTTAAATTCCAATTTGGTACTGTTCAGTATTTGGATATATAACATTTTTGTAAATTCTAGAGATGGCATAATAATGTTCCTTTTTTCTTTGCTTGATTTTATGATGAAATTCAAACTCTATTTAGCTTCACTGTACTTTATAAACCATTTCCATGTCAAGCTAACTTCCTTGGATAATTAGACTCCTTTTTTGATACTGTTCAATATTTGGATATGTCACGTATCTGTAATAAATCCCTTTAAGGTATGGAATAATATATGACATATTGATCCCCTTTAAATTATTTTTATCAGGTACTCTTCTTCTTCCTAAGAATTTTCACTATAAATGCCTGATGATGTTTGACTTAATGTTCTATGTAGGATGGTAAAATTGTTGATACACTGGAGGGTGCTGATCCATCCAGTTTGGCCAACAAAGTTGCTAAAGTTGCTAATCAAATTGATGCTGGCGCATCTGCTGCCCCTGCCAGCCTAGGAATGGCTGCAGGTCCCACTGTCCTTGAAACAGTCAAAGAGTTTGCAAAAGAAAATCATGCTTCTAAAGCTGAAAATCAGGTGAAACCTGGACTCAGTGAGGCACTAAAAGAACGTTTGCTGGAACTGATTAACTCTCATCCTATAATGCTCTTCATGAAAGGAAGCCCTGAAGAGCCGAGGTGTGGTTTTAGCAAAAAGGTTGTTTCCATTTTGAAAGATGAAAAAGTTAAATTTGGAAGTTTCGACATCCTATCAGATAATGAAGTTCGTGAGGGTTTGAAGAAGTTCTCAAACTGGCCAACATTTCCTCAGCTTTATTGTAAAGGTGAGCTTCTTGGTGGATGTGATATAGCAATTGCGATGCATGAAAATGGCGAACTGAAAGAAGTTTTTAGAGATCATGGAATTAATACTGTTGATGAAAATGAAACTAAAGTGGTTGAACAGGGTGCTGGAAAGGGAGGCATCACAGGACCCACAGGGTTGAGTGCAGCCCTTAGCTTGCAGCTCGAACGCCTAATTAATTCTGGCCCTGTTGTGCTTTTTATGAAGGGACAGCCAGATGAGCCCAGGTGTGGCTTCAGTGGGAAGGTAGTAGAAATTCTTAAACAAGAGAAGGTTGATTTTGAAAGTTTTGACATACTTACTGATGATGAAGTCCGTCAAGGGCTTAAAGTTTATTCAAACTGGTCTAGTTATCCTCAACTATATATCAAGGGGGAGCTCATTGGTGGATCAGATATTGTATTGGAGATGCAAAAAAGTGGTGAACTTAGAAAGATTTTAACTGAAAAAGGGATTGTTCAAAAGGAATCTCTTGAGGATCGTTTGAAGAACTTGGTTTCGTCTTCACCTGTGATGCTTTTCATGAAGGGTACCCCTGATGCTCCAAGATGCGGTTTCAGTTCCAAGGTTGTGAATGCTCTGAGGGGAGAAGGTATCAGTTTTGGCTCTTTTGATATTCTAAGCGATGAGGAAGTAAGACAGGAGCTAAAAGCCTTCTCTAACTGGCCAACTTACCCCCAGCTCTACTTCAAAGGTGAGTTGGTTGGCGGTTGTGATATTGTGATGGAGCTGCAAAGCGACGGAGAACTGAAGAGTTCCCTGTCTGAATAATAATTTGTGCTTTTTAGCAAATATTTCTCAGGTTGTTGTCATATGTGTCACCAGTGCCATCTATTTGACATTATAGCTTGGTATAATTTTTGATCAATATTTGTCACTTTGGAGTTGGTTTTTAAGGTTACACCAATGTGTTAAAACCTCCCATATTATCATAACCCAAAATTTATTGAGGATGTTGGTGCATGCTAAAATCTGTTAAATTGATGAATGTTGGCTTTGGCCAGATAATGGAAACTATGAGCATACACTTCGCTTTTTTGGCAGGTGACAGAGCAAAGACTTCTTGAAAGTTGTTGACAATCCCTTAAAATTATAGCTCGAGCATGAGCAAACATCAATACATTAAAAAATACTGTTTCTTCTTCTTGCTCCTATTGTCTTTTATTTAACATGGCAAGAGAACAAAAAAGCTTGATATGGATGACCAATTTCATCACGCATGAACAGAGCAGTCAGAAAATGTACCAGTGATGTTAATAAATTAGGTGCAAATGTCACTATTCAGCAATGCAAACAAACAAAATTGAACTGCCATAAATTGCACCATAAAAGGCTACTAGCCTACCAAGTAATAAATTTGGTTGGAATTTGCAAAATCGGCAGCATAATTCTTCCTATGTTTCAATCACTTCTGCCTCACAGACAATATCTTCTTTGTTTCTTCATCTTCATCTATCTCATCAGCCTCCATTTGTTCCAAAAGCCCATCAACCTCTCTACCACATCTTAGACTCGACTTAATCAAGGCATGATACATTTGTCTGTTTACTGGAATAGCAGTCCTCAATGAAGCCACAAAATCCTCTACATCTTCAATACTACCCTCATCAGCAAGCCAATTTAAAATGCTTAAAATCACCTTAAGATTCGGTTTCAATCCTTTATTCCCCGCATGCAGAGAAAGAGCAGCCTTCATACACTCTAAA